CAACCCTGCATCCAACACGAGCTGCAGAAGTCAGATTTGACTGATCACGGGTCAAAAGTAAGGAGAGATAACTGAAGTGTTGGGAGGATTTGCTCCTCAACAGATCCTGAGCTCATTGACAAATATCTTTTATCGTAAGATGTGCTCCCTTTACACAGCGCGCGCGCAATCGCGAAATCGAAAGTGAAAGTGAACTGCGACTGCGAGCGCTCATTCAAAGAGGATTAAAATACCCCACATATTGATAGCGACGCCCTGATGCGCGAAAATTATATACAATATTAGAATGTTTGCGGGAGCGGACACAAAAATCGTGGGAGCAGATGGGAGCATGCGGTAATGGTCAGAAATTCAGCAAGAGCGGGATCAACAAGCACCGCGCTATCACGCAGCAGCTCAGTAAGTCAGTGGGCACAGTAAGAGATGACGTCAATTCTTGTGGGATTCCAGAAATAAACTACACAGAACCCCACTATTCGGACAAATATACATAATGAAAAGATTATACAAAATTTAATACCTTGGAAAATGGCATTTAAGACATTTTAATACTTTTTAAGGGCCTTAAATTTTCTCTAAATTGATTTATCAACTTTTAATACTTTTAAAGACCCTGCGGACACCCTGACAATACAAGTTCTGCTTTTTCCGGCCATTATTTTCTTTTGCGATACTCCATCTCTCTTGCCTTCTTGTCTGCCTACTGGATTTCTTCTCTACGTCTCTCACTCTTACCGTGTGGGAGTCCAGGTCAGAAAACTTCACAGGCATCTCTGTGCCGAGGTAGTAAACTCTGATCATGTGGTCCGTCCCTCCGGTGGCCAGAAACAATCCCCCTGGAATCAAAGAACACAATATTCTAACTTTTTATTTATTGTCTGATCATGAGACAATAATGATACTATAATAAATAAACATGAGAAAAGTGTATGACAATTGATCAGAGAGTTAGAGTGTGAGTGTGGGTAAACACACCAGAGCTGAAGGAACTGCAGGATATCTGAACTCCGGGACGAGAACGTTCCATAAACTTCACAGGCCGATCACTGCAAACACAAACACATGACTTGTTGCAAATTTGCTCTATGTAAAAACATTGAATTAATGACATGAGCAGAATTGGGTCATTGAAAATGGACAAATGACACTTACTCAAACTTCATACTGAGTGAGTTCCACTGCCAGAAACACACCATCCCATCAGCTCCAGTGGTGGCCAGATGCCGAGAGGAACCTAATGCTGATGGAGAAAACTGCAGAGATAGAAAGAAAAATCCTTTCAAATACAAACTAAATCATTTGAATTAATAGTGCCTGTTGAATTTTTGGATTAAAAAAAAAAAGTTGATTTCTATATAAAAAGTGATTTAATAAAAAAACAAAAACAAAAAAAAAACAGGTTTGCTGTGCTGTGTGTTTGTACGGTTTGTAAGTTTTTGTGATTACATGTCAACATAAAAAGAATGTATTATTATTAATATTAAATTTACAATGAATTACAACAGAAAAAATTAGATAATTTTATTTTACAATATAACTGTAAAAGTACAATACTAATATTTATGGCCATTTTAATTTCTTCATTTTCGAACATTAAACCATTTAGCATTTGTTTTAACAAGGGGAAAATGCAAGAGCCCAAAAATTTATTTTGTTGACAACAGCCAGTTTGTAAGCTTCTTATTAGAAGTTTGGGTATATGGTTGGCACATGTTGGCTCCCAAATGCAAGTGACCCAAGTTCAGAGCAGATGCAGAGTTGAAGCTTGTGTGGAGCAGCATTTACCGTGAACCACTGAAATCACCAGATCATGAACTGCTTGCGTGTAAAAGAACATAGTACCATGCTTCACTCACACAGTGACTTTATAAAGAAAACTTGTGTTCACACACCTGTATGGAGGTGATAGAGGCTGTGTGCCCCTGCAACACTGCCACAGGTGCACAGGTACGCAGGCACCACACGCGGATGACCTTGTCACAGCTGGCGGAAGCAAGGAGCGTGTTCTCGAAATTCACGGTCATGTCTGAAATCTCTGCCGCGTGTCCACGCAGAGTGGTTAGGAGACGGCCATCATCCGTCACCCAGATCTTCACTAGACAGTCATCAGAACCCTGACAGAGACATGTGAATAAACCTTGATTACAAGCGCACATAAAACATATTAAAAAACTACAAGACACAAAACAGTGTTTCCTGGGTTGTCATGTTATTTTTCAATTATTTTTTAACATTAACAATATTACGCAACACACTTTTTATGACAAAATCAGGCCCGGATGCAATATTCTGATCAGATGCATTTACCGTAAAAATGCGCCACCCAGTGCGGTCAAACGCCACACAGTACACTGATGAGAGATGGCCCAGAATCCTTCGATGCATCTTCATGTGCTGATAGGTACAGGAGGGGACGGCGTGGCCAAATCGTGCCACTCCTGTTTTTTGGCGAGCACCCATGATTGACACTGAGCAGTGAGATTTAGAAAGATTACAATCAACTCCCACCACAAAATATAAGAAATTATAGTTGGGCTACACTAAAGGACATTACTGGGCCACTAAATTAAAACATGCTAACATCCAGCATTAAGCTACGGTCAAACTAGACAAACAGACACTATATTGTAATATGACTTTACAATCTGCGGCACTTTCAAAAAAATATTCAAAATATAATACTTGTAAAATGTAAAAATGTGCAATCTTCTCCAGTTTACCGTAACTCTGCAAATTTGAAGTTTGCATTTGTTTAATTGAGTAACACAGTGACGTATCAAACTTCTGTTGGTCACATGTCTTCATGATACGAATTCACAGGGCAAAGTTCACCAAACTTGAAGTTTTTGGAACCCAGTAAAATTTGCATGATCGCATTTGCATGCGTATAAATGGAAGTCAATAGAAGGGAAAAGGTAGGGTGACTGGCCTTTAAAGTCGATACAGATACGTATCACGATACAGAGGCCACAATATGATATGTATCATGATACAGGACTGCACTGAATTTCACCTCAGCAGAATTGAGTAAAACAACTGTTTATTAAACACTGCACACTATAGGGCCATTTCTAACTATTGGCAGAGCAGGCAGCTGACCTCTGCATTATGAAGGGCCTCCATAACTGTACCACAGTACAATGTAGGTAATGGCATATGTTTCATGTTACATTGGGCACTCCCAACCAGGTACAATATTCTGATTGTTTGCAACTTGTTTTTAAGCCCATAAATAATAATGTACTCGTCATAATAAATTTATATTGTAATGTACTCATACTAATGTATAAAAAAATCACTTACATTGCTGTTAGGTTAT